ACACGACACTGACCATGCGCAAAAGCAGCTTGTGGTTTTCTGGGCTGGTGTCAGATGAGTCGGTTCTGGAGTCTGGAACCTCTGACCCACATCAATCTGAGCATAAATAATCTGAGGCTGCAGCGCCCCCAGAACCACAGAGATGGATTATATCAGATCAGTGGCGGTCCTACGGGGGTGGCATGAGGGGCCACTGTAAAAATATAATCTTCCCACCCTGTTTGTAAGCAACATTTTATAAATTTGTACATTTTTTTTCATTTTAAGTCGAGAACATGTCCACAAAACTTTAGTGTTTATCCAACTCACAGGTTTAAAATTCACAAACAGCTTTTTTAATTAATTTAAAATAGATTTAGCTGCAAACAAACCTGAAAAATCACCATCAGATGGATTTATGTCCAGCTACACACTGCACTGAGTACTTATAAACTCTGATAAAAGAAAAACTCAGATTAAAATTGGGATTATTCTTTATTAAAGGGTTAAAAACAGGCTTTGGGTCAGAAATTTCCACAAATGTTCCACGATCACAAAGACAAAACCTCATTTGGGTATTCCTCTCACATCCGACGCGCTCGCAGAGAGAAAGACCTGCCTTTATCTTTTATTAACGTTACCACGGCAACACACATCCGCCGCAGAGAGCGTTAAACCGGCAGCCCTAAAAGCTTCGCCTTGCTTCCCTTCACACATCTGCCTCTGATTCCAGCTGCAGCTTCGAAAATAAACCTGTTTTTACTGATTTGTAACGTTGTGAGATCAGAGATTTGTTTCAGCGGCTGTCGTGTCTTTTTGTTTGTGAACAGATTACAGTTTATGAACAAGTGCTTTAAAGGGCCTGTGACATCAGATTTTTTGTAATACACATGAATAAATTTTTGGAAAGATGACATTGATAACATGTTGCAAAACAAATTTCACGCCGCTGAGATGAACGGTTGTTGAGATGTTTGCATGTGAAGAAACAGGAAGTGATGTCAAAGAGGAATGTCTGCTTGTAAACAGAGCGTTGTAACAAAAGCCAACAACACAGACTGTAGAGAACAATCTGATGTTTAGAATATTTTGAGTCTCTAGCAAAGACAAAGAAGAGTTCAAGTTCAAATAATGTTGTTTTAATAAACAAAAACCAGAGAGTTTATTTTATAAATGAGTTCCCCTTTGATGTCACTTCCTGTTTCACTTTGGCTGAGCCAAATTCAAAAGAAAATAGGCCTCCATGTGTACTATACCAATTTTCTTAAGTATAAAGATGTTTTCTTTATATTTGAAGGATAGGCATGTCACAGGCACTTTAAAAAGGGTTCGAACAGTTTTGAGTGATTCTACGATGATTTAAACCCTGTTTTATGTATTTTAATATGCTGAATTTAAAAACAAACTCTAAAGGTGCAGCTTAATTGTTTGAAAGAAAAAGCAGCACAGCTTGAGCYATCCCTCATTTTGCTTCGTCGGGCCTCTGCTGAGAAATAATCACAGATTTTCTCAACAAACACTGAACTCGTTGCTCCYTCTCTCATCTCAGAGGAGAAAACAACATCTGTTAGCGGGAAGCCATTGTGAGCAGAATAATCGTGTCATGGCAGTGCGTTTGTGGGTTCTTCACCACTCACCTCTAGCAGATGTAAGGTCAGGTGAAGTGAGTCTCATTCATCACGGAGAAATAAAAATTAAAAATAAAACACTCTGAGAGGATGACTCACAGGCAGCTCCTTGCAGACGTGGCCCAAAAACTTTGTCTAATTATAGTTTGTGTTCAGTTTTCTATAAAAGCAGTGAATGGATTATTTTGAAATATGAGCTGTAATTTTAATGTTTTGTAGGTTTTCCTGAAGATGAAAAATAACAGCAACTCAGTCAACCAAAACAGCAATATATAAATACATCCTGCAGAACAATGGATATAATTCAGTTAAATACAGTTTAACCTTGTTTTATGTCTCAAAACTGCTAAGCAAAACAGAACACAGAATAAATCATAGGAAGTACAATTTATTTTACAAAACAGAACAATTTGTATAAAAATTAATAACACCCATTATTGCATCTTGGTTAAATTTCAGTTTCACGAAAGTTTTTTTTCCATTAAATGTTAAAAACGATAAAGATTAGTTCCCAACGTTAGCACAGTGATCCTGTCAATCTGAACAGATTARATAAAATGTTCAGTTTAATCTAAACATGATGCGTAGATACTACACACACTTACAACAACACATCGTTAGCAMTAAGCCTGTTATTAACAGTGTTACACAGCGTTCATTAAAATACAAGACAAACTGTAAAACATGTAAAATGTAACTATTTATCAACAGGGAGGACAAAAACAYAACTTCAGAACAGGAAGCATCACGTTAAAAGAAATTAAATACAATATTTAAATTTCTTTTCCATCACCCAGAGTTAAACTTTCCTTAATACTGACYTTTATCAATAAAAGACAAAAAAAAAAGATTGAAAGAATGTAAAAATACATGCCGTCATGGCAGCAAACATTTGGATTTTACAATGAAAGTCACCATAAACTTTAAAATAATCTGAACGAGGTACCCGGTACATATCTGGGATATATCAGGAACCTGTTGGGTACATAATTAGTACTGAGTACCATGTTTGTACCTGTTAAACACTAAGAAATGATRAAGTTAGTACAAGCTATGTACCCAGTAAGTACTTACCGGGCACATTTTTGCTACTAACCTGGTACATGAACAGTACTAACTGGATAGATACTGGAGCGTATCCTGTAAGTACAGCTTTTATTTCTTTTTAAAACTGAACAATTTCTCAAAAGAGAACCAAAAAAAATAGATTAATCCCTTTAGAAGGAGTTAAGATAAATTAAAGTTTAGTTCTGTTTGCAGTTTTYTGATCAGATCTTCGATGTTGAGGCAACAAAAGTGGAATTAAAATGATTTTTGTTTTTTTGGTGTAAAACAAAACGTATAAAATGACACAAGTTTCGGCCTCGTGTCGTCAGTGGCTCTGCCGCTCCGACACCACGTCCTGCAGACGCTTCAGCAGCACGTCCGGACTGCTGCCGTTCTCCGGACACGCCCTCTTGCTCGGCGAGTCGCAGACCGGTGACATCATCACGTCCCCCTCCATGGTGAAGGCCCGTTTCCTGCTCACACATCCCTGCCGGATCATCCGGTTGATGTCTGACAGCTCCTGTGAAGGAATAGTTTCATTTTTACWGTTTTTTTTTTCCTGTCGAACTCTCAGGGACATTTTGGCAAACGCTGAKAGAGTTCTTGCCTTGGACGGGCTGCTGTTGATCCTGTAGGTGTAGGAGTTTGGCGTGAGGCAGCCGGCGGAGTTCTTGTGCGGGGAGACGTACAGCGAGTGCCTCTGGCTGACTCGACGAGGAGACAGAGGCTGAGCTCGGACTGACGGGAACGGGGACAGAGGAGGAGCGTCCGCCTGGAGGATCCACAGTCGCATCATTAAAAAAAACAAAACAAACAAAAACACACAGCCCTGGAGAATTTTCATACCCGGTTATCATTGGTGGCGTATCTCAGCGCGAAGCTCTTCATCTTCAGGACGAACACGGTGTTGTAAAACTGGATGAGGTCGCCTCGTTCCTCCTCTCCTGATTGGTTGGATTTGATGTCACGTATGAGCTGACTGGTTTTCTCTGCAGCTGTGGGAACAAAGACGTCAAACATTAAGTAAAAAAAAAACAAAAAACACTCGGGCGAAACCTGATCTACGTCATCTGATCTTACACTCTCCTCCCGACACAGAATCCACCTCCATGTTTTCATCGGCCGGAGGCTCCCTGACGGTGCGCCGCAGTAAGACACTGCGGTACACCTGAGGACACAAACACGGTGAGCCTCCATGTGCTTTTCAAATATCTGAAATGTGCATGAAGGTGTTTCTCACGTGGCTGCTGGCCTGTGGTTGGCTGCGGTAACACTTCATGATGTCCTGGAAAGTGTGAGTCTCTTTGGTGATCTAAAWTTAAATAAATATAACAGTTAGAGTCGATGTTCTTAAAGGAACTGGAGTTAAACTCAACGGTTTTTATGACCCCTATATTGTTTTCGTAATGTTTATTTTTTTCAGTGATTTTTGGTCAACCGTAGCACGGAAACGGCCGCACCGATCAACATGAAATTTGGCAGGACTGTAGAAGAGTCTGACCTACACTGCTCCAGCCTATGGTTTCATGATAGACCCCATATTTGAGGAGAGGGCTCCATCTGAAAAGGGGGTGTCTGYACATACAAAAGTGCTWATAACWKAKACWKT